GGGGGGGGGTGATTGACTAGATCAAATCATTGTGGTGGTCATAAAAAGGAAAGGAAGAAAAAACATGAAAACAATTACTCCACAAAAGTATAAATAACCAAAATTTCTACTTGAGTAAAGTAACAAAGTATTTCTACTTACTTAAAATAAAACATTAAAAGCAACAATAACATATCTTCATATTTACAGTATTATTAATAAGATTTGGAAAAAAAAATGCAAATCCAGACTGATCGTCTCRACTGCACAGATTGCAGAAAAAGAGTTAATGTTTTTACACTGCTGCTTTAAAATCATCAGCATATCAAAAAATGTTTAAATTATTAAATTTAGAGCAAACCTCTCTTGTCCTGCCGTGTCCCAGAGCTGAAGGTGGACTCTGAAGTTCCTCTCACCTGACCCGTCAGCACTGGTCCCCGTGTACACCTGAGCCACAGCAGAAATAAAACGTGACCCGAGTGGCTCCCGTTTGTTTGAAACGTGTTAAATAAGAGAGCCGACACTCACCACTCTCTTCTCCCTGAAGTCGATGCCCACCGTGGTCGTGAACTTTCGGTTGAACTTGTTGTCCGTGTACCTGTAGAGGAAGGTGGTCTTTCCCACCCCCGAGTCTCCGAGGGCCAGCAACTTGATCAGATAGTCRTAGTCCCATTCGGCCATCCTGCAGTTGTGTTGAACCTGCCCGAGAATCAAACCTTAGACTGCGACGCTCGGCACGCCGCCGCGAGGTTTCAACACATCTGAATAACTTTACAAGAAAAAAAAGAAGAAATTCTCCACTTAAAGCTGCAGTTTTCAGTCTGAGTCTGCAGGAGCATCACACAGGCTTACTGCAGCTGCACGTCATAACTCCCCGGTCATTAGGCGCTGATCAGAGAGGGACTAGCACATGACTAGAGTTTGCTTCCACATGAGCAGTCAAATGCCTCTGCAGAGTTTGATCTGAATTTTTTTCAGCAAGAAAAAAAAWATATATACTGCTTGGCGGACAGGAGTCCTTTCATTGACTTAAAGAGCTGCAGGACACTGAGGAGTCCTGACAATTCCCAGGATTCCTCGAAGCTGGCGTTTGATTATATTCCAGATAATCAGACATCCAGGACCAAAACAAGACGTTTTTGTTTTATCTGTCCCACATAATAAGCGTGAAAACAGATTAAGTGTTTAACCAGAAAACATGAGGCAATCTGAAAGTGAAATCAACAAAGATCAACACAGATTATTTGTTGTAAAATCCTAAATATCAGTAAAAATAAATCTTACCAGCCTATCTACAGGAAGCACAAACGCCCATCCAGAAGTGATTCTACTCTTTATTAAAAAGTAAAAGGCAGTCATGAAGCGTTGGAACATTACAGAACCTTTTCTTTGTCTCACATGTGACGCAGGGAGGAGCTTCACGTCGATYAGACCCAAGCGGGGCCGAGCTTACAGAGCTTCTGCTGTTTCTCATCGGGGGTGGGGGGAATAATGGCTCTTTGAAAACAGGATTGTTTTTGCTTTTTTGACAACATAATACATGCYTCTGTGGATTTTAGTGGAAAAGATCCCGGCCCGACACGGTAGTTTAGACGACAACCATGACAAACGTGAACTTGAAGCTAYTCAGACAAACAACCAACAGTTGTTCTCTAACTGGGTTTGAAATACTTGAACAGATTATTCGACCGGCTGCTGTTTCCCGCTGCCCTCCTGTCTTTGCCCGAACAGTTTCTCCCCGGTTTCACGGACGAGGGGATCTTCAGAACGAGCTTCTGCTGCTTCCACTCGGACATCAACTCCCTCTGAACATCCGGCGGGAGCTCAGAAAACACCCCGGGGTCCACGTTTCCAGGGAACCCGCGATCATAAGAGGATGACGGCGGGTCACCTCCTTCCACCATGTTCTGCCCTCGGGTCACACTCGTTCCAGCGGGCCGTGGCCGAGTCACGGCGGCTGCTCTGTCAGATGTGTCAAACCCGTTTGACGCCTTTTTAAACGGCTCTGAAGACTTGTTTCGGGGTATTTTCGGGGCATGTGTTCTGGACAGGGAGCTTAGRTAGGGAGGAGATAACAGCTCTTTCTGGATTTCCTCCGGAAGCATTTGAAAAACCTCCAGGTCAACATTTAGCGGCGGCTGAGATGTGGCAGTGTTTGTCGTTTCGTCACAGCCGACACGCTCCACGCCGCAGGCTGCTCCCCGGCTTTCTCCTTCGACAACAGCAGAACTTCGTCCACGTTCAGAACAAGACGGGCCTTTTGTGGTGAAAGGGCTTCTTAACGGAGCAACCGCAGCGCGAGTGTCGACCTGATGATCTGAGCAGAGACTGTCGGCGTCCTGAGACCAATCATCCTGTAACGAGGAGCGGCACAAATTAGTCCAGGAATTTCAGAGAATTTGGCACAAAAAGGGAGGAATGATCACACCCACAAAGCAGCTTAAGGTCTCTTAAGGATAAAAATCACAATAAGATCTTTGTGAACCAAGTAACAGACATGAAGAGTTTTGTGGAAAACATTTAACTCACAGAAATAAATATAAAAAGTCCAGGATGTTTTTTATTTACACACTACCTGGCTTTGTAAGGATAAGGTCTGTGTTTGTCTGGGAGAGGTGTTCTGTGTGAAGAATGATGTAATGGTGCCTCTCCTGCTCCCAGCAGCCCCTCTGCTCTGCAGGTTACTGAAGCAGACGTTGAGGAGTGTGAGGTGAAAAGCAGCGCTGCCGTCCACCATCTTGTGGAAGAGCTTCATCGCCAACGGGACCAGCTGGGCCACGGCCTCCTCATGAAACCCTGTGTAGGAAGAACAGGAAGGTGAAACTGTGTAGTGATGCTTCCTTGTTTCACYTCATTTAAAGTCTCTAAAAACTAAAATAACAAATCCCACGTCATCGTTTCCCGGCGTACCAGAGGTAATCTTCTGTCCGACGTGGATMGGGATCGGGCACTGACGGCTCTCCCGACTGAACCACTTGTTGGTGGCAGAGAACCTTCGGATGGTTAGCCTGAAGGTTCGAGGCAGTCGGCCGTCTTTGTGCATCCTGGTTTCAAAACAGCACAACAAAAGTTTAACTTTTATTTTAAATGCATCAGACGCAGAGCTGCGGTGCTGAATCTGGTACCGACCTCTCCACCAAACTGCTCAGGAGCTGCTGAACCTTTTCCAAAACTTCTGCAACYGAAGACATTTTCTTGAAGGAGTCTTCATCACTGAGAGACTGAAACATAAAGAGGATGTTAACGCAGTCAGTTTATTTGTATTATTTATATTTATTTGTCAAAATGATTTATTCTGACAAAACAGATTCTTTCAACTGAAAAGTTTAGCTGTTTTAAACTATACTTTAAACTTTAATCTAAACTGATGCAGCACAATCATGCACATGGTTCCTGCTGCTTCCTGGTCTGTTGACCAATAGGAGAGGAGCTGACCCAGGAAGCCCCACCCACCTTATTTACATAACGAGGGCAGAAAAGCACAAGGAAATGTAAATACAGGAGACAGACAAATGTAAAAAACAACACATAGAAATGAAATTACT